TAAACCCTAAACCCATGAACCCCTAAGCCCTCCAAGAACCCGAAACCCAGAGCCCTACAAACCCCTATAAACCCCAAGAGCCCTAAAGAGCCTCATGGGGTTACTCGAAGTTTCTAGGCTTGGCTCCTGTGTGACCCCTTAATAATAAGGGCACCCATTTTTATTAAGGGAGTCATGCAATAAAAACGGCAAAAGGGTACTACTCAGGAACCTACCCTAAACCCTAAACCCTAAACCCTAAACCCTAAACCCTAAACCCTAAACCCTAAACCCTAAACCCTAAACCCTAACCCTAATACCCTAAACCCTAAACCCTAAAACCTAAACCCTAAGCCTGAAACCCTAAACCCTAAACCCTAAACCCTAAGCCTGAAACCTAAACCCTAAACCCTAAGCCTGAAACCCTGATGAGCCTCCGTTCTTCTGGTAGGCGTCCACATTCGTCACATCTGACAGGGTGCCGGGGGTTTAGGGTTTAGGTTTAGGGTTTAGGGTTTAGGGTTTAGGGTTTAGGGTTTAGGGTTTAGGGTTTAGGGTTTAGGGTTTAGGGTTTAGGGGTTGGGGCAGGTTGGATGTGTCTCGGTTACTTCGAGAACCACCCTGTTTAGGGTTTAGGGTTTATAGGGTATACTCGCAAAGGCAAACGAACACGATTCCAACAAGTTCAAGTGCGGGCCTGAATAGTTTGATTGAGTAACCTAGAAAAGTGTCTTGAGGTATTTAATTTCTACGAATAATCAGAAATACTGTTTAACTTTCCAGTCTCCCCACACAGGAAACCCTTGAAACCGTGCACTCTACATCCTAAGCCCAACAAAGAGAACAACCCTAAACCCTAAACCCTAAACTCAACCCTACACTAAACCCTAAACCCTAAACTAAACTCTAAACCAAGCCGGTCGTGAGTGGGCCCCCCCTTGGCCTGAGTCAGTGGGGAGAAGCTTGCTCACCAGCTGACACGTCCCAGCCTGTTCCCAAGGAAGGGCTCTTCTTGGGGTTGAGGGTTAGTTCTGAGGGTTGAGAGTTTAGATTTTGAAACCCTAAGCTCTTAGGGCTCTTCTTAGGGTTTCGGCGGTATGGGGCTGTTAGAGGTCTGAGTTGCTGGGTTCGTTTTTTAGTCGAAGGGTGTGGAGTTTTGGGTTTAAGGCTTCGGGCTCTTCGGGGCTTCAGGAGTGCGGGTAGGACGCTTAGGAGTTTGGGAGTTTAGGTGTTGCGGGTTCCTGATTTCATCAGTTCAGGCTGTAAGCTTGTGGTTTCCGCAAAGGGCCGATGCTTCCTTGCAGCTACAGTACGACAAACGGGACAGGACCAGGATAAACGAAATCGCATTTAGGTTTAGGGCTTGGGGCGATTTGGGTTTAGGATTAAAGGTGATTCCTAAGTGCTCATGGTGCACGGGTAGTAGCAGCACTGCCAACGCACACTCGTCCGTGGCGCACCTGATTTCCCCCGCGCTGACACTGAACCCCAAAGGCCCTGCACCCTAAACCCC